TCCCAATATTTCAACTTCCTCTGCAAACGCAAACATTTTATGTAGCCAAGAACCTTCAGAACAGAACTCAATCTCCATAACTACAAAAGACAGTCCAAATAGGGGGGGGGGGGTGCTAGAATTTCAGTTATCAGCTTCAATTTCAGGCAGTCAGTAGAGTTTGCAGATCTCAGATCTTAGCAATCAGTTAAATAAACAACGTGACATTTCTAAGCGACAGTTGAATTCTCAGCTATCAATAAAAACCCTATCCAGACCTAGGGCCCGTTTCTCGAACGCCGCGCAAACGTTTCTGGCCTGCAAAGCCATTTTTAGTTAATCGGTGTTTAAAAAAAGAGAGGTGTATACGCCTGAAACTTCTGGTATGAAGGGAACCTCTGTTCATATTAAGAATATCTGCATAAAACAGCTCTGTAGTCATAAGGTCTGAGATTTTGCTACGGTTTTTCGGGACCTTTGAGAAACGGGCCCCAGTGCAGGAAAAAGAAATGTCAGTGGAGTCTTCACAGGCTGCAAACTGCAAGCTGATTGAGACGTTCTCATGACTGTAGCAGACTCGTCAATATTTGTCAGTCTATATAGCAGAATTTATTACTTACAGCTTTTGTAGTCCGGGAAGTTTGTTGAAACATTGCTGCCCTAGATTCTCTATTTTGTTATTCTTGAGCGACCTGGAGAAACAAAAAGAAGAAAGCCAGTTTTTTCTTCTCTGAGTACATTTATTCCCAAAGCTGCTTTTTGTTGTGAGACAATGGTAAAAGCGTATTTCTGCTTATCAAAGATATCGTCGTGTGTAAACTGGAGTTCCTCATCTAGGATCACTAACTTCAACTAAAAGTACGCAGTTAATCTCTCCTTAGTGTTCCTCCTTCTAATAAGCTTCCCTTCAATTAAACGTACCCCATTTGAAGTGTCTTTGGGAAAGGTGCCTTTACTCCAACTAACGCCCCTCCCTCGCGCCATTTTTTAAGCAATAGAATACTTTTTCCGTGTTCACATAACCTCATCTAAACACGAGGAGGGTTCGGAGAATTCGAGGCAGTTATGCAAACCCTGGACTACGTCTCGGGTTTGCATAACTTTCGAAAATTCTCCCACCCCCCGAGTGTTTAGATGAGGCTATGTAAACACGGAAAAAGGCTTCTATTGCTGTTATAAAATAATTCTCAAAAATACGCGCGAAGCTAAAACGTCACAACCGTGTTTACGTACTCTCATCTAAACACACCTATCGACCAATGAGAGCGCGCGTAGT